AGGGCATGAATTCATGCCTACTTCTCACTTTAGCGAGATATTATTCAATATATCACTCTATACACACGTTTTTGTAACAAATATGCTTCAACTCGGATGTCAACAAATTTATTCTTCGCAGCACTCACCACACATATCGAATTCAACGAGTTATGGATTAGGACGTCCACAGAAAAACGCAGACAAATATGTACCAGACCGTGACCTCGACTGTCATCTCGGGCTTACGTTTCCCTTTCTGATTAGCTGATCATTCGCGCATTTTACGTTACGGCGATCAAAAGTGCGAAGGCTGTTTATTCCAGGATCCAAATCAAAATTCGTATATAGTTCCTACTCTGGTAGATAACGAATTCAAGAAGTAGGAAAACGTTGATTCTCAGGTAGGAACTAACCATACACGCTATGATTCCATCCGACTTATTGCACATGTATATGTTAGTCGGGGTCCATATATGTTATCGCGTTCATCGTCGGGGGCGAGTTCGTGGGTCAAATAATATTTAAACTGACTTTTGTTGAATTCGATCCTTCCCGTTATCTATTTTACTATGGAAGAAGTCAACTATCAGTTGCCCTTCCTTGATGTCTAAGTTAGAAAACTGGCACACAGGAAGATAAGGACAACTGTCTACCGTAAGACAGCTAAAACCAGGCGCATTCTCCGCTTCCAAAACAACCATCTCGTTGGTCACAAACTCAGTTGTGTCATAACCCTCTTCCGACGTGTTCAAACAAACTGTGGCGACGACAGTGAGATGCAGGTGGTGCTGAATTACTTAAGTGCTCTTTTCAAAACCGGCTGTAATCCGGAATCCTTCATCCCCAGGTGTCTAAAGAGGCCTCGCGTTCGTCGGCCAAGCGAAGAAAAACAAAAATTCTGGCTCCCATCCCCTACGTGAAAAGCGTTTCAAAGGCACTTCAAAAGCGTGTGTGTGTTAAGCAATGACGAGGCCCACCTGGCCTAAAATATTCAATTTATTTATTTATTAATCCAAGAACCATTTGGCATTGGAGTGGCGCATAAACCAGATTTCACAATCAGCAGCAAGTCATGAAGCCCAAAAACCCGCTGCCAGTAACAGAACCATAAGCCGTGGTCTACAGCATACCAGGCAAAATTTTGATGCGATGTCTGTTGGGAAAACGGAGAAACGTCCGGGTGCAACATCAACTTGCAATCAATCGCAAGGACAATCTGTCTTTGGTCTATGGTCACGTGTATCAGCTGAATCGCAACATCGCCTTTGAGAAAGCGAGGGTGATCGGTAATACCAATAAGAAGATGGCCAGATTAGTACTCGAAATTTGGTCCTCCATTGGCATTATCAACAGAGCTATAGACTTGAACCTTGCCTACCCGGTGCTTCGCACAAGGCCAGTAGGGCAAGAAAGGACGCAGAACCGAGAGCCTACACTAACAGAAAATAGTGAAGGCGGACGGAATTCACGTGGTTTACATAAAAACACTGTCTCATCGACGCACACACGGAGCGGGGAACAATTCATGCGAACAGTAACGAGTGATCAGTCCGCCAGCTGACGTGAAGGAGGC